ATAGACTTACAACTGCAGACTTACAACTGCAGACTTACAACTGCAGACTTGCAGCACACTCTCTTGAGATGCTTTTGCTGTTTTTAGGTTTTCTCTAGCAATAACATGAACGTGGCAACGTTTAGAGAGGGGATTGGTTGTGGTGTTGAATGAATGAAACCAAAAGGTATAAGAGATTTTTTATATAAAAATGTCGAGAAATTTGGGGACTAAGCAGTAATTTCTCTTATAATGACTATGTTCTTGTAAATCAAATCTCTTCTCCAACTTAGCATTGACTTTTTCACGATCCATAGACGTCCCATACATGTCTATAAAATACTGCTCCACTAGGTTCTTCAATAATAACTGTTAGGTTATGCTCTCATGTGATGTGTATATGTGTATCTTGTAAAGTGTGTGTTAACTTCCTACATATTTAACTATAGAAATGATTGTAAACGTAATCGATATTATTTGTAACAAGAGCAGAGTAAAGAAAATGTCCAATCATAGTTTAGCGTAACGTATGTAAATAGCTGTATCATTATGTGTATCAGTTAGTTGTCGTGTGCTAGTTTTTCTTCTATATGTGGGAATAAATGTAATAAAACCTCCAGACATCAGTGTCATTATTTATCATGGCCACTTCATCAAACCCAACAGGTTATGGGCCCAGGAGAGCAATAATGTTCAATGGAGATGAAAATAAGTATGAGCTATGGGAAGTGCTATGCCTATGTGCAAAACCCGAAAAAGCTTGAACCTAGAAGCAAGAAGGGGATTTTCATTGGGTATGGTAAGTGTTGCCCTGCATACCTGGTATATTACCCGGAAAACATGAAAGTAGAGAGAGTAAGATGCGTAAAGTTTTTTGATAGTATCCATGATGAGATTGAGAAGACTCCAACGGACTATGAAATTTACCAACCTTCTTACGCAACACCTACGTCAGAACAGCCTACTGCAGAAATAGGGGGAAAACCTGATAATTTAGAAGGGAATGACACTGTAAGGTATCCAACCCGAACACGGAATAGGCCAGCATATCTAGATGAGTATGTAGTTGAAAACATAACCGATACCACAACTAAGCTTGCAGTCGATTATTGTTACAGGTTGAATGATTTACCCACTTCTTATTCAGAAGCTGTAAGTTCTATAGAGTCAGTCCAGTGGAAAAACGCCATGGACGATGAGTTTACCTCATTAGCGGATAATAACACTTTCACACCTACTGAGTTACCCCCAAATCGTGAAATAGTGGGTGGAAAATGGGTGTACACAATCAAAACAGGCATGAACAATGAGGAGACGTTTAAGGCTAGGTATGTAGCTAAGGGTTATTCTCAAGTCTCAGGAATCGACTATCATGAGACGTTCGCACCCACTGCTAGAATGAATTCAATTCGTGTGCTGATTCAACACGCAGTCCAAAACAATATGCAAGTACACCAAATGGATGTTAAATCGGCATTTTTAGACGCACCCATTGATTGCGACATTTATGTTGAGCAACCAAAAGTCTACGAAAAATTGGGTAAGAATGGAGAAAAACTTGTCTACAAATTAAGCAAGTCGTTGTACAGTCTTAAACAAAGCGGTAGGAACTGGAATCAAACTATACCCGACTACTTGACTGGGGACGGGTTCAGCCAATCCCTTGCAGACCCATGTGTGTATTATAAGTTCGTAAATGGGGACCATAACAAATGTATTATCACGTTCATTTGGGTAGATGACTTAATAATTTCTGCAAGTAACTCAATCTTTTTGAAAGGCGTAAAAGAGGGTCTTTGCAAGCAGTTCAAAATGAAAGATTTGGGCATTTTACATTGGTTTTTAGGCATTGAGTTTAAGTGTTCTGATGACGAAATAGAAATGAGCCAAAGCCGTTACGTAGAAAAAATATTGGCAAAATTTGAAATGACCGATTGCAAACCCAAAAAGGCACCGTCACTTCCCGAACACGATAAATTAATGTGCATGGATTCACCCGAATTAGAGGATCCCAACTTGTATAGACGAGTTGTTGAGAGTCTGATTTACATTATGACAGGCACTAGGCAAGACTTATGCTATGTAGTTACCAATCTGTCTCAATACATGTCCAAACCGACTGTTGCATTATTAAATGCAGCAAAGCATGTCCTAAGATACCTTAAGGGGACACCACAATTAAATCTAACGTTTAGAAAGAGCGAGAACCCTTTAAAATTGGTAGGATACAGTGATTTAGATTGGGGGGGAAATGTTAGTGACAGGAAGAGCATTTCCGGATACGCTTTCCTTTGTCAGAGGTAGGACCTTTGATATCCTGGAAAAGCAAGAACCAGCAGGTAGTTGCACTTTCTACTTGTGAGGCAGAATATATAGCTATGGCTGAGGCAGTGCAGGAAAGTAAGTTTTTGAAGCAATTATGTTGCGACCTTGGCATATTCTCAGATAACAGGAGCGCGATTATCAATGCCGATAACCAGGGAGCAATCAAACTAGCTAAGAATCCAGCTTTTCATAAGAGATCGAAGCATATTGACATCAAGTATCACTTCATTTGAAGTGAAACGCTGCGCAGCACGATAAACTTAAGGTACGTTGCAAGAGAAGATAACTTAGCAGACATATTTACCAAGGCGGCAAGTAAAATCTAGCTAGATAGGTTCAAACATTTAATCTGCAATTAAAAGGACATTGCGAGCAAGGGGTGATTTTAGGTTATGCTCTCATGTGATGTGTATACGTGTATCTTGTAAAATGTGTGTTAACTTCCTACATGTTTAACTATAGAAATGATTGTAAACGTAATCGATATTATTTGTAACAAGAGCAGAGGAAAGAAAATGACCAATCATAGTTTAGCGTCACGTATGTAAATAGCTGTATCATTATGTGTATCAGCTAGTTGTCGTGTGCTAGTCTTTCTTCTATGTGTGGGAATAAATGTAATAAAACCTCCAGACATCAGTGTGATTATTTATCATGGCCACTGCATCAAACCCAACAGGTTATGGGCCCAGGAGAACAATAATGTTCAATGGAGATGAAAATAAGTATGAGCTATGGGAAGTGCTATGCCTATGGGCAAAACCCGAAAAAGGTTGAACCTAGAAGCTAGAAGGGGATTTTCATTGGGTATGATAAGTGTAGCCCTGCATACCTGGTATATTACCCTGAAAACATGAAAGTAGAGAGAGTAAGATGCGTAAAGTTTTTTGATAGTATCCATGATGAGATTGAGAAGACTCCAACGGACGATGAAATTTACCAACCTTCTTACGCAACACCTACGTCAGAACAGCCTACTGCAGAAATAAGGGGAACCTGATAATTTACAAGGGAATGACACTGTAAGGTATCCAACCCGAACCCTGAATAGGCCAGCATATCTAGATGAGTATGTAGTTGAAAACATAACCGATACCACAACTAAGCTTGCAGTCGATTATTGTTACAGGTTGAATGATTTACCCACTTCTTATTCAGAAGCTGTAAGTTCTAAAGAGTCAGTCCAGTGGAAAAACGCCATGGACGATGAGTTTACCTCATTAGTGGATAATAACACTTTCACACCTACTGAGTTACCCCCAAATCGTGAAATAGTGGGTGGAAAATGGGTGTACACAATCAAAACAGGCATGAACAATGAAGAGACGTTTAAGGCTAGGTATGTAGAGTTAAGGGTTATTCTCAAGTCTCAGGAATTGACTATCATGAGACGTTCGCACCCACTGATTTACATTATGACAGGCACTAGGCCGGACATATGCTATGTAGTTGCCAGAAAAATTCTCAGAAAACTGTTTTGAAAAAGACCTTGACTGCGACTAAAAAGATACATCAGTGTTGTAAAACTCACTCGATAGTAAACTTGCCATAACAAGCCACGATAACTTTGCAGAATATGAGAGCATGCTGGGGTAGGAAAACTGATAATTGCGGGAGGGAGGGGGTCAAATTCATGTATTTATGTTATAAGCCTTAAAAAAGCTGGATTTCAAAAGAACTTAACATGCTTTTGATGAATAGATGAAGAGCTCCTCCCCCCCAAAAAGGAAAAAATTAACGATATTCTTAAGCCCATATTTAAGAACACTTGAAAACTATGAAAATCCGAAAGTCAAAATGCAAATCTTCCCATCATGCTTTTTGTCTCCAAAACAATTTACAAATATGGTTGGCCACAAAATCTTGGTCCAACCAAATGAGGGTAAGGTGATGGTGATGCTTTCTGCTGTGCCATATGTTTCCATGTTCCCGCTTGTTCCATTTTAATACCTCAAAGTTGTTGAAATGCGAATTAATACTACCCAACACCAAGATTTTAACGATGAAAACATACCTGTGAATATATTAGCATCATTTACAAGCAATTTATATGTCGACAGAAGATACAAAGATGCAAGGCTTCAGAATTTGGTGACCGTGACTGTGATTATAATTTAGTTCTTATATATATTTTGCATGTGAGGTAGTAAGAATATTTCTACAAGCAAATATCTCACCAGTGAAAGCGACATGCTCCTTTTTGTGGACATTACGATACCTAAAAACGGAGCTATTGAAGGTTTGGCATTATGAAAAAAATACGTAACAAGATATCGCGCTCCTTTTTAAAAAATTCTTTATAATTGACTATAGATACAAAGGGGAGGTCGAGAATATTATTTTTACTGAAAAGCGATCATTTCAGCGGAAAAAGATTAATTGTCATCATGTTTTAGCATTATTGACCCAGTCCACCAAGCCGCTGCAGTTATTATAGAGCTTAATGACATATATACATATAAATCAGATATGGCGTCAACGAGAACGCTTAAAATATTTCCTACATCACATTCATGCGATGTTCTCAATTTGAGAAGTATCGCGCGCTTTAGACGATCTTATACACAGCAAAAGTTGAATATTTTATCAGTTTTCTTACAACCTATTTTGTTTTGTTTCTTTAAGAACGTGTGTATTTGAAACGATGACAACATAGAATGGTAGTGCAATTACTTTAAAATATTCTACAAAGTACATACACATACTACAAAATATATTTATACACTACATAGTACATACTCATACTTAGAAATAAATCAATAAATCTCCTTAATGTGATTCATGGATACATGTAATTCAAATGAAAAAAAAAGAAAGAAAAATATTGTTCAATTTACCGCGGACCTTGATCGTTAATCGACAGCTAAAAACAAAGCTTTTCCCGTTACCTCTAATGGCGAAATCATAAGTAATGTCATATTTCCAATTCCAAAATTTCCTTCGCCTAAAATTGCTCCTGATGGTGACAGACTAATCAGTGTATGTGGACACTTTGGTTTTGGCTCGTTCCGTTTAACATATACAACGGTTTTTCTTCCTAATTTTCTTTGTTATTGGTGCTGCACTTTGGCATTCACATGCTGTGAGAAAGAACAAGAAATGTTTTTATCTTACCCAAAATATAACTAATAAAACATAGCAAGTGCAAGTAGTGATGAATGGATTATAGAAAACGAGAACAGTCTTTACACACACTAAAATATTCATTAAATGATGTGTGTGAGTATAGATGGTGATAAACGAAGAAAAGAGAACAAAAACTATTTTCACACAATCTGAAACAAAACTAAGATAACTTGTGCAATTGTCAGTAAAGATAAATGAATAAGAGAAAAATAGAACAGTATTTATAATTCCTAAAATATAAACTATGTAAGGTAATGTGTGTCAGTGAGGGTATTGATGAATGAACAACAGAGAAAAGAGCGGTCTTTAAAATATAAACTAAGTAAGGTAATGTGTGTCAGTGAGGGTATTGATGAATGAACAACAGTGAAAAGAGCGGTTTTTAAAATACAAACTAAGACGACATATATGTCCGTTTTTGTGGTGATGAAATACATTACAGAGAAATGATATAGTTTCCATTGGGATATTCAAAGCTTACAAAGACTTTTCGTCAATACTTACTTTCAACATTAATATCTATGTAACATTTAAGATAAAATCCTTCTCTGAATGTGAAAGTATATTCAACACGATGATTCCCAACAGTAAAATCGTGTGGGGATGTGATATTTGGTTTAATCGTCATCGTATATTGAGGAACTCTGTTCGTTCTACATCGAATTAGTATTGGCCAACTTACAGTCACCGCTTTTTTTGATGAATTGATGTAAACAGTTGAAGATTGAAAAGACGAACAGCTACAGTGACCTTTTTATAGGAAATTACTAAAATCAACATCACGTAAGGGAATATTTACTTATATGACAATGCTAAATAGTAAACTTGCATATAAAATAATTTTTTGCTAGCCACAAGACATCATAAAACAGCTACAGCGACCTTTTTATAGGAAAGTACTAAAATCAACATCACGTAAGGGAATATTTGCTTATATGACAATGCTAAATAGTAAACTTGCATATAAAATAATTTTTTGCTAGCCACAAGACATCATAAAACAGCTATAAATAATATAAATTCCGTTTTGCTTTATAAAACACGACAGGTCATTTGTTGACTTCATTTAATGACGATAAGACTTCAACAACAACAAAACTGTAAATTGATACAAAACTGGTACAAAAGTAGTACAGAAGGCATCAACAATTTTGTTCAGTATTTCGTTCAGAGAATCAACTTCTGTGTCAAAAGTTGTCTTTTCTGAAGTTGATATTTTTAATGACTGGCTTAAACTTTTCACTATAGATGGCATGCCATCAGCAACACCAACAATAAGAATGCCTTTGTCTTTCATTGATCTGATATTATTGAATTGATTAAAATATAATACATTAAATCTAGTGAATGGTAGATGACGGTAGAGAGCTATAAATCTTTTTGTGATGAAAATAAAGGTTGTTGATAAATTTATAACGAGAGAATGTTATCATGGAAAACTTAAAGAAAAATCAAAGAGTAACTTTAACACATCATTTATCACCTTGAATATTTGTAAGCGTCCTTTAATTCATCGCCTATTTTCCTTCCACGTGGTTCACCATCTGTTATCAATACGACAACGTCAGAGATGTTTGGTCGGTTGTTGTGTGGACTGTTCTCCTTGAATATCTTGTTCGTAAAATAAAATGTATTTTGCAATGTAATCAGTCAAAGAGATGTGTTATTTTACAGCTTTCCTATGTTAAAGGAGAAATTCACCTGTTTGTCCACAATGCCTGCACCAGTTCCAGTCATCGTTATACCACGAGAAACAGCTCTCCATGACAATCTTTTGTCGATAAATTGTATGTATTCTGCTTTTGTACGATCAGAGAAAGGTAGAACAACTCTTGTGTTATGTTCATCACTGAATATAACGATAGCAATTTGGGTTCCGTCAGAGCCGACTTTGAGCTTAGGACTGAAAACCAACTTTTTTAGAAACGGTTTTATTTTCCTATCAAAGTGTGGGAAAATAGAGCGTGATGTATCAAGGAGAAGAACCATGTCTGTCTTACATATCTCTAAATTAAAGGTAGAAAATTAACATAAAAACGTGGGAGTAATGTAATTTCAAATTTGTCATTTAAATAACAATAACAGATTCATAAAGCAGTTACTGAATGAACAAAGATACGGTTTTTCAAAGTTATCACTGATTTGTATTTTGTTTAATTCGAGTCGATAAATTTAGAAATAATGTAAAACACTGTAAACTCAAAGCTGCTTCTTACTAGTTGTTGGTATTGGTCTACAGACAGTTTTCTAACAACAGTTTCTGGTAAAGTAGCACGGCAACAAAGTTAAGAAGTTGAGAACAAAATTGTAGCATTTCTATACGTCTAATTGAGGATGATATTTATGTTTAGAGCATGTAAAGTTTTTTAGTTGGTGAATAATAAGCCACTTATTTTAAAAAGATAATACTTTTAAGATAGACAGTTATATAAAACCAAAGACAAGAAATGAAAATAGCTAAATTAAACACTTGTCCATTCAACAATGAAAACATATGCAAAATAATTTAGATTGTAGAGAACAAGCTAGATGCTCTGCTTTTAGTACTGTTATAAAAAATCCATATATCTACCTGTACATGAATTACATTCTCCTTCATATCCTTCCATACATTTGCATTCTAATGTTTCATCAACTTTGTTGTAGTATGTGTTGGATCCACATATGGGAAAATTGAAGGGTTTTGTCACTAAATATTGGTATTTAATAGGTAGAGTTTAACTAATGGCAGTAAATGTTTACAAGAATTAAAGTACATATGTAAAAGATAAATGCAGGAATTACAAACTTGTTTCTTCGAAACGATTTTTAATTGCTTTTCAAATATATATGAGCATAATGATATGGATGTGAATCATAAAAATTTAGCTTTTCAATGACTTTTAATGTGACTTTTCATATAAATCATTACCTAGCCTAAACTTTACGTAAGTGCATGTGTTAGTTTGTTTGAGTTATGAGCAGTATTTGTTATTTTGTGTTTTGATGAATCATATGTTTAATGATTTGATATTTCACTTACCATTTGACACTACACTAGTGCTTTGTACTACAGCCATACCATGATGACCATCACTCACAGCCACAGGGATGGAAAAGTTATAAGTCAAGTTATCTGTTGTGTTATAGGCCGTTACTATGCCTTTCTTTGCACTATTTATGACATATACAAAATTTCCAAATACTTTTATTCGTGCTCCTGATATTGCAAAACATCCACATTTTGGCGAGGTAATCACATGAATACACAGTGTCATCGGAAACTCGCCAATATAACTTCTCTTCACCCATGTCAAGAGTAAGATCATATGCGTTTGACTCAAGAGAAACTGATGAAACGTGATCATTATTTGAAATCCTACTCCAAATCCAAATTTTATGATATTTTTCTTCTGCTGAGAAAAGATACCTTAAACAAAAAAGTTCTCGCTGAAATAGTAACATTAATTAGAAAGTATGGTGTAAGTTTGGTACTATATATTATTATTTCTATAGATTGTTTAAAAGGTGCAATCAGTTGTTTTCCAATTCTCAAATACTTGCTATGCAGTGTGTCTCAAACGTACGTTTTCTTTCTAAGTAAACCGGAGTACATTGAATGATCCATGAGCTATGCAAAGCTCACGTTTATAGGTTTGAGCACTGTGGGAACTCTACAATACAATCCATACAATGTGTAACCGTACGTTCTGTGTCCCAAGCGCAGGAGTCACCTTAAATATGGTGATAGCCGGGAGGGCACATTATATAAATACTTTGTATACACCACATGTATATGTATTGATAATATTGGAGCAACGACATTTTGTTGCTATTTTTCAGATAGCATTTTCAAAAAGTTCTGTACCAGATATAAATAATTTTGAGACGCGCAAGGGCTTCACAAATTGCAATGGAGCATTGCAAATATTTTGGATTTCATTGTATACAAGTATATGTTCATTGTTATTTTAATATTTTGTGAAACCAAGCAGAAATTATTTGTAATTTATGTAAGTTTCGAGCACTCGGACGATTGTGAGACAAGCAATAGATTGAATATATTAAAAATAAGACGCTTGTTAACCTAAAGGAGTGTTCTCTTGCTTCCGACATCTGTTTTGAGACGTGGAAGGGCCCGAAGGGGACTTATAAATGTTAACTGAACTTTGATAGGGTACCAAAACAGCGCTCAAAGCCACAAGCTTATTGCTACACTCATTTCAGTGTCGCACATCGCATACAATGGCATATTTCATATTCGCTAGTACTTCCTACTTATAATTTGACATATCATGAAAAGCTCATAGGAAGAACAAATTGTATTGGAAAAAAAATTGAAAACCAGCAATAGATGTCAGCTCATTGAAATGCTTGGAGATAGATCAAAAATCAACGAAGCTAACTCAAAACTGAAAAGCCCATCTATTTTTGGGCATGTTTTCTAGATGTATAAAAACATCTTTATGCTTGAAATAAGCTGAAATTTATTTTTCTTTTGATTTCTTCATCAAATTTATAGTAATTTTGACTAAAGATAACATATTTCTACATACTTCATAAACTACGAACCTTTTAAGGATATTTTTCCAAAGGGAGGATTTTTAATTTATTACCCATAATATTATTGAGCCTATTGCTCCTTGTTGCAAACTTAGGAAGTATATAAGACTTTGTATCTTGTTAGCCTTTCAAAGTTTCATCTGACCCATAAAATCGATGGCAACCTGCTCATTTTGCTTTTAGAACAAACACTTGGTATGCTTGTTATTGGTCTGTCTTAAGAAAATGACTAAATATATGTTCAGTGCAGTTGACTTTAGCTAGTCATTCATGGTGAACTCTTCGAACATCTAACATACAAAAGCTGTATAGAAGAACTCTAACAATTTACAATTTGCAACATCTTAAACAGCATAAAGGAAAATAAACACAGTAACATTGTCAAGAATATGACAAGTCGTTCAAAATAAATTATATTTTTTACATCAAAATAGATTCTGAAGTTTACTTTTAGAAATTTGATGGAAAAATTTTAATATGTACATACCCTTGATTGGATCAAATGTGATCATATTAAATTTTAAGCCCGGTGTAAATCTCATAACGCTTGAATTTTTGCTGTTTAAAGAAATTTGCTGGATGATGTTATTCGACTTGACGTAGAATATACGACGTCCGATCCAGTCAACTGTCATATCATGAGCGCAAGCATTTTCTTCAAAAATTTCAACATCAGTCATATCCAGGTTTGATCTTTTGATATCTCCAAGTTCAATATAGTAAATCATGTCCTCAGATACATCGATCTCCATGTCATAATGGTTGCAACATATATGATAAAAACTATCTCTGAATCCATGAATAATATCAACATGAAAATCTTCGGTAAGAATATCAACTGCGTACATTTTATTAAATTTTAAAATGATTAGGTATGGCTCAGGATAAACACCTAAACAAGTAAAATCAAAATTATAACAAGACAACAGTAATACACCTAAAACACAAGCCACCCGATAAATTTCTGTCTGTCTTCAACATGTGACCTTTCCAATTATGTTTAGTTTCTTTGCACCAAATACTATTTTTGAGAAAATTAATTTGTAAGTCCTTTATTAATATTTTTTTACAAAGACATAAAAGGAGCAAATTCAAAGGCTTGATGTATGATACAAAGACTTATAAAGTTGTTTATCATGTAATTCCCAATTGTTAGTTTGTACATATAAATAATTAGTATTGGTAGCTGTAAGTTGTTCAAGCAAAACAGAAGAGTAGCAGCGCTTGAAGGGGTTAGCATTTTTTGAAAAATTCTATCTTGCTCTTGACATACATTACGCAATTACTGAAGACAAAGTATTGCACAATATTACCTATGGAAGTCCTGAGAAGTACTGTTTTTGTTGTTGTTGACTGACGTTTCGACAACCTTAGCGGTAGTCATCTTCAGAGTCAAATGAAGAGTAAACGTCAGGTTAGCCGTATTTGTTATCTGGTTCTTACGACATTGTATTATGTGTACAGGAAATGTGTATTGTCATTGTGAATTAGTGTGAACTGAAATATTTCTATTTTTAGTTGTGATGTGTGATTTAGGTGTGATGTTTTTAGTTGTAACGTGCGGGTGTCAATTGTGTATTGTCATTGTGAATTAGTGGGAAGTGTAATGTTTTTGGTTGATAGTTTGTTTGTATTGTGAATAAGTCGTTTGTAAGGTGCCGGTAATTGCTGTGGTCGGTTCAGGGGGGTTTGTTCCAATTTGGTATACCAACTTTCTAATGTAAGCCGTTGTCTATAGTCAGTACAGTAAGTAATGCATTTTTCCGTGTCCCAGTCAATGCTGTGCTTTGTGATTCGGTGATGTTCGGCAATGTGATTAGTTTTGTCTTGTTTCTTAGTAGCTCGTTTGTGTTCAGTAAGTCTTATAATTAAGTTCCTGCCAGTTTCCCCGATATAGGAGGCGTGGCAGTCGAGCAATTTGTTTTGTAAACTGCACCTTGTCGTTCGTTGGGTTTTTCTTTGTCCTTTATGTTCGTTAGTACTTGTCGTAACGTTGTGATTGTTTTATATGAGACACGTATGTTGTATGGTCGTAAGATACGCGAGATAGTCTCAGACGTACCTTTGATGTAAAGTATCGTTGCTGTTGGCACTGAGTTGCTCGTTTCGTTGGGTTCGTTGGGTTTGTAGGTGTTGCGTTTGATAAAGTCAGAGTTATAGTTGTTTTTGTCAAAAACACGTTTGAGATAGTTGTTTTCGTTGTGTAGAGCGTCCGGTGAATCACATATGATTTGTGCACATCTTGTTAATGTTCTGATTGTGGTGGCTTTGTGTGATGTAGGGTTGTAAGATGATTGGTCTACTAGTCGGTCAGTATGTGTTGCGTTGCGATAAACTGTTGTTCGTAGTTTTTGATTGTCATGTTTTACCAAACAGTCGAGAAAAGGAAGAGTTCCGTTTTCTTCGACCTATTTGGTAAATTGTATGTGGCTGTTCTGTTTATTGATGTGAGTGTGAAAGTCATCAATCTCGTCTGCATGTAATGCTGTGATTGTTTCATCTACGTAGCGAAACCAAAAAGGTAGTGCATGTTTGTAAGTCGTGAGCGCCCGTTCCTCTATAGATTGCATTACAATTTTTGTACAAGTAAGTGCCTGATTAAGTGGAATACTGGTGAACAGTGATTTCACATCAAAAGGCACTAGTATATAGTTGTCCGGTATTTGTATAGTGCTCAGTTTTTTAATGAAAGTTTCAGTGGATTGTAGCTTGTGTTTTGATTTGTTTGTAAGTGGTTGCAGTATTTCAGTCAAGTACTTTGAGAGTTCGTAAGTAGGCGAACCACAGAATGATACAATTGGTCGCATGGGTATTTGTGGTTTGTGAAGTTTTGGTAGTGCGTATAGTCTGGGTGGTCGTGGTACTGAACATCTGAGTTGATAGTTAATACGTTCAGATATAATGTTAGATTTTCTCATAGAGAATATCTTGCTGTTAAGTTTGCGTACTAGTGATGGTGTTGGGTCTCGTTTGAGTTGTTCATACGTTGTTCAAGGGTGTCCATTTTGTTGAAGTAATCATTCCTGTCCATGACCACAGTCACGCGTCCTTTGTCTGCTGGTAAAATGACGATGTTGTTGTCGTGTTTTAGTCGTTTGAGTGCTTGCTGTTCGTCCTTTGTCAAGTTGTTGTCACGTATAGAGAACGATTGTAAAGTGGAGGCTATCCTGCTTCTGATCTCGTCTTTGGTTGTCTTGACAAGTCTCTTTGATACGCTAAGACAGCCTCAACACTTTGATACGCTAGGAAGACTCGACCTCCAGATCACAGTAATTACCGGCACCTTACAAACGACTTATTCACAATACAAACGATCAACTAAAAACATTGCACTTCACACTAATTCACAATGACAATACACAATTGACACCCACACATTACAACTAGAAACATCACACCTAAATCACACATCACAACTAAAAATAAACATATTTCACTTTACACTAATTCACAATGACAATACACATTTCCTGTACACACAATACAATGACGTAAGAACCAGATAACAAATACGGCTATCCTGACGTTTACTCCTCATTTAACTCTGAAGATGACTATCGCTAAGGTTGTCGAAACGTCAGTCAACAACAACAAAAACAGTCCTTCTCAGGACTTCCATAGGTAGTAAAATAAAGAGAAATTAAAAGAGG